TAATTAATTCTGCGCGTGAGCAGTTGTGCGGTGCGGTTGCTCCCGCCGCAATTTTGCGACGCCTAATCCAGCTGTTTGCTGCCCTCCCACTTCCCCATACCCTCTACTCCCGGTAGCTGGTGAAGGCTGGTGGACGCTGGTAGACGCTAGATCGATACCCACGCTTTCCTAGCCCTCGAGACATTGGCAGACGCTGGTGGACGCTGGCAGACGCTAGTTCGATGTCAACACTTTTTGAGTTGCTGCGGTTGCCGGACGCTCGGAACGCCAGTGCATGGAGGTAGAGGCTGCCGCAAAGTATGAGCGCAGCCTCAGCACTGCTTTGGCGTCCGAGCCTCCCAGCGCGAAAGCCTACATGTATTTCAAACCATTCGCGACCAGGCGCGTTTTTCGAAAACGGCTCGTTCGGACCGGAGCATTTGCGAGCTCTCAGCAAGTGTCCGCCACCAGTGGTGGACACGGTCCCTCGTGACCCCTTACTAAAAATTTTAGCACTGTTCAACTTTCTGCTCCCGAAATCTCCTTTTTTACTGAACCTTCGAGTGCAGAGAATATTCTTCAAGTCACGGAATGACATTCGCTCTGTCCTCCGGCTCCATTTGGCGCCAATGTGCGCTAATTCTAGTGCTATAGTCTTTTCCACGAAAACCAGTGTAAGCTTGCATATTGAAATGATTTGTCACTCAAACTGCAAAGCAACATTCACTTTTGGCGTATGGCGGAATCTCGCCATTTGGCGCCGGAACGGCGCCAACCAATTTTGGCCCTTCACATTCTTCGCTGAAATCGGTATAAACTTGCACACTGGCTTTTTCGACATCCTGATCACCAATACACAATTTATTTTGGCACTGTTTACCCTTTATGCCCCGCCCCATTCATCCGAAATCAGGCAAGTTTTTGACCGGATTTTTCCGTAGGCAGAATTTTTCCGTAGGCAGAATTAGCTAAAATTTGCTCTCTGGGATAGTTTGACCTCCTAAACACGAATGTCACATCAGCTCGGCCGGAAACCCACTGGTGCCCACGCCACAGGCGCCGGCGCAAAAGTGCATTAAATCAACAAATTTGTGATAACATGCCCGTTGGTATTGTTTGGCTCCCTGACCACGAATATCACATTTGTAGGGGGCGCTAAATCTAGGATGGAGTAAAGAGGGTACACGTGTTAGCGCAACCTGCTTCTGTTCGTCTGCAGCCTTTCCCGAGATAGTGATCTCTTTCTCTGCTGAGGCTGCTGGTCCCCTCCTCTGCTGAAGTTGAGCTTTGGTAAACGAAGGATTGCTATCGCAACGTATTAAGGGGGTTGAATGGTGCACAAACTTTCAGCAATTTTAATGATGTTTTAACGCCGGCGCCTGTGCCACAGGCGCCGGCGTTCAAACAACCAAAATTAAGCCAAGTCTGTCCACGGGTGCGAAAAGTTTGCGAAGGGTCAAAAACTGGGTCGCTTCCGGGTGAATGGGGCAGTAAAGGGTTAACAGTGCCTACATTTCTTATCACCGGCGCTATTCGGCGCCAGAATCCAGCGGCAGTCGCCGACTTGGCGCCACGACTTCCTTTGCAAAAGTCTCAGCTATTTCGCATTCGAACTTAGTTGCCCAGTTGGCGCTGGGATCTACAGTGAATGTCATATTCGTAATCGGGGCAACAAAAAGCCCTTGTACCCAATTTTGGTGAAAAAGGTAGTGGTGCCTGGTGCCAAGTTGGCGCCGGCACCATTCTGGCGCCTAATGGCACCAGCGCCAAGAATGGTGTCATATTCGTAATCATCACGCCAAATAACCTAACCACTTAAGTTTATACCGGTTGTGAGTGAAAAAAGTGGTGCGCCAAGCTGGCGCCTAATGGTGCCAAATGGCGTCAAACCGCACTGGCATCAAAAACCAGACGTCATGTTTGTGCACTGAGTAACCCATATCAGCAATTTTTCAGCAGAGATTTAGCTTTTAGCTTTTTTTAGATTTTTTAGCTTTATATCTGAAGATCTCGTTGGTCCACTATTTGCATAAATTAACAAAGGTATGAAGACTTGTACCACTGGGAAAAGTTCCTCGAAGAACTCGAACTGTTTCTAAAAATTTCATCAAAAGCCCGTCCGCCACATATGGTGGACATGGTCCGAAGTGGACATTTCGGTGTTCCACCACCATGGCCGACATTGTCACGAATGGGTCAAGAAATAGAACGGCGTCTCGGCCAAAGTTGTGAGACCTTTGTGAAGCGAAAGCTCGTGCGAGTCCAGAGCAGCACAGAGTTTGACTAATGAAGCAACCACAACTTTATTCCATAACTATTATCTACAATGTCTACATATTACAAATTAAATGTTGTTGTTATATGGTATTTACAATAGTACAAATGATCAGCTAATTGGCGGAAGGTGGACTGGTCAGCAGATGCGTCGTCGTCGAATGAACGGTCCCAGAGCGAGCGTTTCCCTATAGAGAGTTGTTACGCCGTTCTCTGAAGTACAGTATCTCTTACCGAGAATCGCCAGCTGGCTAAAACATCAACCCACACGCCTGTCACTTCGTCGTCTGCCGATGTCACAATCACTCGCTTGAATCGCATCTGATTCGAGGGATCTTCGTAGCTGAAATTCGGATTATCCTTCCACTATCAACCCCCAACGGGTCTGGAATAGATAAGTATTGCTGCCGAAGGAGTCGGCTATTCTTACTGGAGTTCTCAATATGAAGGAGCCCAACAGGGTAACAGGGCGCAACAACTAGGGAAGTTACCCTTCCTTTCGTATTACGTCCAAACGGAACCTCTGTATGACCCCTTTTTCCGATGAGAGAGGAAGGTGAGGATTTGAAGGCATCGCATAGTTGCAATAGCTGTAGCTGGAAGCTGGAGCGCTATATGTATCTCACTATACCGCTGTAGTTTCCCACTTTTCTTATAAAGTTGGTATCATCCTTCCAGACGAATCTGGTGTAAATTCACCCTCCCCCCCCACCCCGAGGACGGAAGGCTCGGTTGGCCTGGCACCCCAGATGGGACCGCAGGAGCACGCGGTGTGAGCGTGCCACGTAATTGCACCTGTTGGATCTACAGAACAGGTCCCACGGGTTCAGAAGGAATCTTATGATTCACGCATGATCTTGTGGGTCTTGGAAAGGCATAGAGCCGCGAAAGCAATGAGAGATAACTTCTCGAATTTAGGTTATGGAGGCAGACTGAAGGAGGTACGGCCCTGGTTGAGCCCGCTCCTTCTTGCCACGCAACTCCGACGACGAAGAACTACAGTTACACCGCTCCGGACCTACTCACCTATAAGAGAAAGGGGTTCTATCTACCAGGTGACCTTGGCGTGTGTCTTGAAGTCCAAGTGGGTGATGTAAATGATATCAATCCACTTTGTTGCGCTTAAATCTAGACCAGTCTAGAAAGTCTATGTTTGTAGGTGGCTAAAACGACTACCGTATTTCGAAGTGCATTCCATCCTCGAGACTGGTTTTCAAAGGAAACAGCCATAATCCCCAACCAAAGACCTAAAATTTTTTCACGAAGCAGTACTGGAAACCTCCTTGAATCCCAGAACGAAACAGTTACTTCGATAAAAACACAGCAAAAAAAACCTGCTGAAAGTTCTTCTCTCTGCCCTGATTGTAGTCTGCTTTAAAGTCGAATCTGAAGCAACAGGGTTGAGCGGACAGGAATTTCATCAGAGTCTATCAGTTTGCAAAGGAACGGACTTCAACACAGCAGGTTTCGCTTGTTCACAAGTAGTCTCGTTGATTGAAAGCAATCCATAATGGAAGATTAGCATCTCTCCAAGAGGGAAGTACCTGTGAAACCAATGTCGAACATAGTTGATATTATTGCAATCAGCCGGGGTGGTGTCAAGAGGCATGGAAAAAGCCCACTTCTAACACTGATCCATTTCTTCCTTAAAGGCACGGTCCGCGATCAGGTAAACATTGCGTCGGTGCGGTCCATGACGAACAACCCTTGTACCGGTTTCGCGGCAAAAATTGTAAGGGAGGGCGCTATAGCGCAATATAGGTTCAGTGACGCCTCCTTTTTTCCAGTGACTCCGCCTCCAGACTCCGCCTTCAAGGCCCGCCTTTCAGTGAAGCTGCAGGACGAAAAAGCATGAAAATCGTCACTTGTACGGTCGTAGAGTTCTTATCGGGGAATCAGCTGTGCGGATGAGGGCGTAGTGTTGGAGATGGAGTTAATTGGGCACGTACAAACTGGGATCGGAATGGGGTTCTATCTAGGGTAGTTGGCATGTTTTTACCGCTTTTTCTTCGCTTTCGAGCTACTCAGAGCCTTGTCGTCTATATGCGAGCTCCTAATCCACTATGTGATGGCGAATGATCGCGAACTTTGCCTCTAATCGATCACCGACCGATTACTACTGGTATTTCTAACAGCCGGAGGTGGATCCCTCCTGACACTGACTGAGACGATGTTCACTACTGAGTCACATTTCACATCGAGCAACCTTACCCAAACACTCCAAATGTGGCAATAACAGTAATCAGTAGAGCGAGAGGGATGGCATCTTGGAGCCAGTTAGCGTTTATAATGAATCGTATAAAGCACTCGATCGAAGTCAGCAAGAACCTGCAATGCTTGATTTGGCATGAACACTTCAAGAGGGAAAGAGATTTCGTGCGATGACTACATAGACAAGCGTGGCTAGTCCCTTGCTATACACCATGAAGGCGGCTTTTGATAGCCGTCACTTTTCAAATTCACCCACTGGAGCGAGTATGTATGTACAAATCGACTGAACTCTCCCAACCGATCCTGCTAACCCAGAGGGAAAATTTTCAATATTATTGACGTTACACCATGACTCCGCAGTACATTCCCAGCCGACTGCCCCACCACAGTAGAAGGGAATAGGGCAAAAAAAATATTTGTGCCATAGAAGGTGCCCCTGAAACGTTTTTCAGCGTTGGTGGGCACTTTCACATTGAACATTGGTCCCAACTCTTCGATCTTGAAATCCGAAATCCTCCTGGATATCCTGGGCACCACTCGCTCTAACGGTCTAATGATTACAAGCAAATAATGAACCATAGCTATGTTCTCCGAACCAATAAACGAGGGTGCACGCCAGTGCCTCGAGAAACCTGCACGCGAGTGATTTGATCCTGTAAATAAGGCAGTGCTTCACGCGCAAATAGTGCAGGCCTTATTTAGCTTGACGGCGATGACAGGCGGTTGAGGGTGAGAGCAGTGGTGGAATTCTCGTTCCTGCCTATAGAAGAACAGCCAGATTCCAGGGAGGCGTTCCTAGGTTATGTGGACACGGCCCTGTGCGACGTACATCTGGGGTACTGGGAAGAAAGGTGTATTTTCACAACTCTCTCCGTGCACCCGAAATCCGCCAGTTATCACTATGTAGGTGCTGCAGGTGAGCAATACAATACTATTTGCCGTCACCTTCGAAGCGTTTAGGAATGACATGACAGGAAAAGCGCAAGGTTGACCTCACAGCTGACAGCGGTGCAGTCAGTCAGGAAAGGTTTCGCAAAAGAGAAAATGAGTCCATCCGCGGCGTTTTGTGACGCTACAGTAAACCTCCCCGTCAATGACTATTGCCTTACCCGCACCAACTTATTCCACTATTCAATGGGACTCATAGCGCAGAGCACGAGTAATCAGTTTGCACATTGGAAATGTACTCCACAGTACATTCCCAATGTGTAACGTGGGCAATGTATTGTTTTCTATGACTTTGCCTTGGTGCAGAATGAGTTGCTCACCAGATGACAAGGAGTGTACTGTAGAAGATGTACAGCAGAAAAGGCTTGTAGTTGTTATGATTAACACACTGATTAATCCACGGACAATGATGGTCAAATTTAACAACGCATCTGCCACATGACGAACAGTGGTGAGATCGGTCCGGCTTCAGCGTCTGACATATGTAACAGTACCTGCAAAGGTAACCCTATGAGAGGTGAAACACAACCGCTGTGCTACACTATCTGACTTGTTTCTCCCGGCTTGATCACACTCAGCCTGCACAACTCCAAGCTGGGTTGCCACTCTTGTCAAAATTCGATGTTGTTTTACCGTCTGAAAGCTAGTGGACTATGGCCTCATTTATGTGAGGGCAAAAATTTCATTACCGAACCTGTTCAGGGGTTGATTTATCTACTACGTATCTTCCGTCTTCGAAAGGTGTACATTGCTTCAGCAATGCATCTACCTCTGTTGGTACCTGGAAGAATAGTAAAAATTGTACATATAATCCCCTCGCCTTACTGAAGTGTATATGATAACAGCTATACTGTTCAAGCACACAGTTACAAGTTGTTCTTTTCTGCGCTCCTAATGTTTCACCCAGCTGCTACAGAGCTTTACCACATTTCACTGCCATTCCCATGCATAGCGCACAAGTGCGCAAGGGTTCGCATTGCGGGTCCTAAGTGGAATGGAACTTCTTGAGCCTTCGTCAGCGCCAGTGAATAAGAAAGCATATACAGGGGGGGGGGCCAAAAAATAGTCACTTTTCTTCCTTGACCTTCGAGGCGTTAAGTTACACTTTATTAAATTCTGATCGGACAATTCTACCACCATAATCAACAGCATATTAAATACTATCATGACTCTCCGCCACAGCCTTCTGGAGGAGCGCCGTCGAGAGATTCTGCCACGCAACCGTGATTCGGTACCTGAGTTCAGCGAGATTGCTGATTCCGCCACTGTAGACCACCTTGTTGAGCTCCGCCCGAACTCGGTAATTGAGAGAGTTTAGGTCAGGGGACATACTTGAATATTCCACCTTCTTCAGGTACTCAACGCCCTTCCATTCCAAGTAGGCAAGAGTTTTCCCAACGCCCTTTGATTCCATGTGGTGTCACCCAATCCTGTAGCAGTACAAAGTTTCCAAGAAGGTACGGGCGACGACATGTGGAGAGGATATTCTTCTCGAGTTGCTCGATGTAACCGCCAGCGCTCACCTTCAGTCCGAGGCCCACGAAGAAAATTATCGGTTTCCGTTAGGTACGTCCGCGTCCATTACCAATCAACTCGCGCGCTTGGCGACTACGGTATAAGATGATAGCCTAGACGTAAGCGACGTCTGTCAGAGCTGCTCGCTCGATGCTGGAGGTCTTCCAGATCGAGAGTACTGGTCTCCAGGTAGCCATGGGTGACTCCATACTAGAAGTTTCGCAGCTGTTTGGAGGTGACATGAATTCCAAAGGTCTCTCCAGTCTGCGACTGGAGATGACTTCATATTTTGGTGTACATGAAGGTGATGGGCGAGAGCCAGCTCCTGCTTATCGAGGAACATCTTGGGTATCTTCCGCCCTGGTACTCGTATCCACGTCCTCTGTCTGGGCTGCGAAAACTTTGCTGATATGTGACTTGGTCAAAGTGACTTTCCCCCCCCCCTGTGCATGGATCCAGCGTCTATCAGCGTCCACCAGTGTCTACCAGCGTTCACCAGCGACCAGCAGCGTCTCGAGGGTGAGGGAGGTGTAGGTATCGATCTAGCGACAAGCATCGCTTATTAGCGTTCAACAAGCGATCAGCGCGTGTTGGAGTGGAGAGTATGGGGCAGTAGGAGGGTACCATATGTCTGCTTCCTCTTATCGCCCTACACTCTTCACTCCTAGACGTTGCTGCTCGCTGGTAAACGCTGGTAGGCGATGCTTATCGCTAGATCGACACCTATGCTTCCCTAGCCTTCGAGACCCTGCTGGTCGCTGGTGGACGCTGGTCGACGTTGGTGGACGCTAGATCGATATCTATACTTACCTGTTCGCTGGAGCTGAAAAGCGCTTGAAACGCTGCTGGTGGCTGCGAAAAGTATTAACGCGGCGCTGCCCAGATCCTCCTCGTGACTGTTGATACCCAATGAAAGCTCAAGGGAAAGCACATACAAAACCTGGGGACGATGAAAACCAGTTGAGGAGGGTAAGAGGCCAGAACGTTTAGTGAAACGGCAGACACGCCAACCACAGTGGACCCTAAGGTCCTAACAATCAGTTTTAGCGCGCTTGCGAAGCGTGTCTCAAGGACAGTGCTCACGCTCAAGCGACTATAGGCGTCCTCACTTCCATAAGTAGTCTGGCCCTCAATGATTGAGTTTATCCCATTTTTGCAGCATCACAGTAGGTAACGATGGCGCTGTTGTCATCATTGGTAGTTCTGGCGCCTCCCTAGTTGTCCCGCCTACCGAAACTGGAAGGCTATTTTCTGTCACGAGTTCAGTTTTTAACGCCGTGTTCTGAAGCTTTTTTCACTGTTAGATGGTATCAGCATTGGCTTACATGAAGAAACGATTAGTGAGACAGGTGCGGCAGAACATCCCTTTGCTGGCTGGCAAAATACGAGCAGGGGAGGAGAACAGGTCCAAGGTCGCCGATTGCTCACTTGAGGTGTTGTCCATCATTTTTTATGGGTGCGATTATGGGTGTAACTGAATGCCTATCCACAATATTCACTTGAAGTTCCTGAGATGTGGTAGGCGTGGTTGCGTACTTCAACTAAGATGTTCGTGAGATGTTTTCATTTTGAGACAGCTGTGGTCAGGTCTTCGTCCAACTCAGAACAGGATGACAGTTGTCCCAAACTGGAACATCCTACGAGTGAACCCATTTTGTGCCATGTTCAAATGCCACGCCCACTTCTTCTCAGGGATAAGGAGTGTACAATCATGAGGTGGTGGTGCAGAAACACGTCCAATGTATCTTGTTCTTCCCTGTGAGCCTGGCAGAGAACTGTTCACGGATACCCAGCTGTAGCTGCCACGCTCATAACTCTATTACTGTGAACGTCCTCTCCGCTCTCTCCCCCCCCCCACCTCTTCGATGCCACGACATGAACTCCATCTGCACAAGTGGCTTGGTATTCCCATAACGTGTTGGAAAAGAAATCTCATCAAGGTGAGTGGATAATCGGTCAACTTCTCCCTACGCACCTACTCCAGCTCTCATATCATAGCAACAAAACCATGCTGCAAATGCTGTGACACAAGGATACACGGTGAGTCTTCTTTCACCTGTTGGAGTAAATGTCGAAAGAAATGTGTAACGCGCGTGACACATTTTACCTCAGTGGAGAGGAATCCTCGCTACGCCAACACAGCGCCGAGAAGCAGACTCCAGAGCGCCATGAAGCATAGAGACGTGATTAATCACATACGGATAGATAGTGAGCTTGCAAAGTGAGAATGTAAAAATATCCACAAACAATGGCTATGTATATGTAGAAGCTGAAATGCAACAGCTACATCATTCAGTCTTCCTTACTCCTTGCTAACAAAGACTTCATCTCAATTGAAAGTGACTGAGATAGACTGATAAGGTTTTATAAGGGCGTTGGAAGGAATGCGCACGCATAGTATACGCAGAATGTCACGAGAACAATAGGACGTGTATTCAGGAATTTTGAGGCTGCGTTTATACTTTGCGGCAGCGTAGCGTAGCGCTTTCAGCGTACGCCAGCGGCAGTGCCGGGGAGAAGGATACATATCGATCTAGCGTTTCTCCAACGTCACCAGCGATAACCTAGCGTTTCTCAGGCTTCACAGCGTTTTGCAGCGGCAGGGGAGTAGAGACTATGGGAGAGCTGGAGGGTACAAAACACATCGATTGCGCGTCTCTCACTCGCCCTCAGTCTCTACTATACACATCGATTACGCGTCTCTCACGCCCACACAGTCTCTACAATACACATCGATTGCGCGTCTCTGACGGCCCATAGTCTCTACTCCCCTGCCGCTGCAAACGCCAGCAAAACACTGGTGAAACGCTGAGTTAGATCGATATGCATCCTCTCCCCGGCACTGCCGCTGGCGTACGCTGGAAGCGCTACGCTACGCTGCCGCAAAGTATAAACGCAGCCTAAGGGGTGGGATAAGGACAATAGTGAGCGATCAGTTGGAATATGGCCTGCAAGGTCTGATAAAGATAAGGTTAAGGGGCAATTCTGTCAATCTAAATTGTCTCCAGCCGACTCAAAGACAGCGCCCGCTATCGACTTCCGCAAATGTAGAGCCTACAAACATATGTGATAAGTGGGACGGTAATGAAGAAAAAAGCGAAAGAAACCGTCGAAAGCGCCCAAAACAGGGCGTAATGTAAGGGGCTGAAGATGGACGAGTTGTCCGAAATTTCCGCAAGTTCCCTGAATCCGGCCGCGCCTCGCTGATAACCTCAAATCTCTATCCAGGTTTGATTAGCTGTTCTTCTCCAAAGATCTTATCACTGCCAACGAGACTTGATAACGAAAAATCGATAGGTGAGGAACTGGTCGGCGAAGGCGGAGCTAGCTTATCGTAGCCGAGCCCGCCTCCGTTTACTAACTCTTTTCGAATTGCAGGAGTGGGGTTCTCCTCGAGGAGCGTTGAACTCCCCCATTTATGTACTCTTTTAGAGAGTTTCTGCACCTTGGTTGATCGTGGGAGCTGTCCTCGAAGTGCGACCACTAGGGTAAGACGTACACGCTTCTCTCCTTTCTCATAGCAATAGAATCAAAACTGATCGACGGTTATGTTCAGAAGATTTCATCAAAAAGTGGTTGCTCACTGATATTCGTCATTATAAGGCAATTCGCGCGAGCCCACACTTCATAGTATACAGCTTCAAAATAGAATTCCCCGGTGATTGTTGACGATATTGACGAGAAGGAACCACGAAAAAGCGCCCGCAATAAGACCCTCTTTATTTCAACTGATCATGATCACCGGACGAGCGTGAGGTGTTCAAGATCAATTGTGGATTTGCAAAAAGGCCGGCAGACAGCTCATAGGAAGACGAGAGAGCGAGCCCAGGACAACGACGGGCGAGAAGCGCAGTTCGCAAGTGTAACGAACGCGTCACAGTGAGCCGGCCACCATGAATCCTATCGGGGGCCTAAAACGATGAGCGCGTGCGTGCTGGCTCTTTGCTAGTTTTTAACTTTTTGAAGCAGCATAGTTCCCTCTATTACTCCCCACGAAGTCCTAATCCAGCAGTCTCGATCGTCGGGGGGGGTGGGGCGTGAACGTTTTGACGCTTCCAAAAAACGTACCATGCGGAGGGTTGCCACGTTCAGACGCTGGCGAGCACGCGTTGCATTAATTTTTTGCTTCTCGCGCGAAAAACAGTAAACAACTAATGAGCCTCATCCCCCTGAAGCTTGAGGGACACCACGACAGTGCGATCGGTCGGCTGGGACCGCTCGACGAGGCTGCTAGAATCACAGGGCCAACGGAGATTTAAGTCGCCCAGGACTAGGATGACGATCTGTACTTTCAACGCACGGACGCTTGCATCGGAAGCTCACATCGAAGATCTGATGTTGCAAGCCAGGAAGATCAAGTACGACGTCATCGGACTGACCGAGACGAGGAGG